AGGCTTAAAATATAAAACCTTTTTCAGTCATGTAAAAAGTTTTCATTAAGTTTAATAAAGATAAAAGCAAGGTCTCACCTTAAATATTAAAAAAAAAAAAAAAAAAAATCTTACTAAGTTTAAGATTAGTAAAATATATATATATTTGTACTTCGCACTATATAAATCTTCTCATTTAAAATTTCATCAAGTATATAACGTAATAGAAAATTAACTTATCTTTAATCATATCAATCTTTTAGTGATTAAAATATCACTTCTTATTGTCCAACAAATTCAAAAACGTTGGATTCTCGTTCATAAGATTTATTCAATTCTTGAATAGTTCTTATTCATTTTCATTTGAATTCGATCTTCGTATGTATAATGTATCTTCTTATATTAAAGAATTACATCTCTTATCGGTTAATACTTGAATTCAGATTTGAACTGATTATCGAATAATCTAGTTTAAGCTCATCTTCTTGATTTATTTTATCTAATTAAGTATAATAGCACTATTTCATTCACGTGATCGAATTCGAAGTTTACTAAGGTCTTTACAAGTTGATCCATTCTTGTATTGGTTGATTCTTTTTAAGTTCATGCTTATTATAAATTTATCTCTTATTATGTACTATCTTAATAATAAATTTCAGATCTATTTTATCTATGCAAATAGCAATCGGAAGTGCCTTCATCAAACTTAAAACTTAATCCATTGTATATTTAAATAACTAATATTCCATCATACTGAGATAGTTTCCTGTAGATACTTTGACCATAATATCAAACTTCTGATTCGTTTTCATTTTTCTTATTCCTAGATTTGAGATGTACAATCATATAATTTTATTAATATATTATGAAAATTTCTCAAATTCCTTTCAATGATTTTCTAATTTAATAAGTATCCATTCGAATATCTTTATATGCTGTGCCTTTAAATTTCTTTAATATAATTATCAACATCTTTTATTTCCACTTGTCAATTCTTGTATTATTAATAATATAACTCTATTATATTTTAACTCAATAATAAATTTATAGTTTATTTAATTAATAATACAATCTCATTAATGACGATCATTATGTCGTCATAATGTATTGTTCCTTATTTAAATAATAATTTAAACTAATTTATATCCTTTTTCGCTTTTAATTCCTTCTTTTTAATTTCCTTATCTAGTATAATACTTCTTTAATAATTTTCTATTTATAGATGTCTTAATTACTTTTTCATCGACAGATCGTAATTTGTATACTCTTTTCTCCAATACTCTATGAATCACAAAAGGACCCTTCCACTTCAGATGAAGTTTATGGCTTTTTGAATGTTGTTGAGAAGCTTTATAAACTAATATTAAATCACCTTTTTTAAATTCTTTTATATGTTGTAAGTCTTGATCATGTCTTCTTTTAGCACTTTCTTGTGCTTTTTTGATTCTTTTAACAGCATCATTTCTTACTTTAGGTAGTATTTCAACTAATTCAAAAATTCTTTGAAGAAATGTTCCTTCCAACAATTCTTCATTTTTATCAGGGTGAATAGGAAATTGAGCTTCTCTTCCATACACTAAAAAGAATGGAGTTATCTTCGTCGTATTCTGTTTGGCGGTTCTATAAGCGAAAAGTACTGAAGGAATAAGTAAGTCTCATTCTTTTATATTGGTGACTAATTTAGATATAGATTTACACAATGTCTTATTAAATCTTTCAACTAATCCATTTGTTTGTGGATGATAGGGTGTTGAATAGTGATAACTAATAGTAAATTTCTTTAAAAATTCATCCATTAAGCTATTATGAAAATGAGTTCCTCGGTCGGATAGGAGGTATTGTGGACATCCATAGTGACAAACAATATCTTTGTATATAAAATCTGCCACCTCTTGGGCATTAGCACTCTTTATTGCCCTAGCTTCTGGCTATTTGGTTATGTAGTCTGTAGCAACTACAATGTACTTATTACCTTTAGGAGTTATAGGTAATTTATCTACTATGTCAATTCCAATTTTGTAAAATGGAGCTTCTACTGGAATTGGATACAATGGAGGCTTTGCTAAATTCTTTCCTCTTCTTTGACAGGAATCGCAAGTATGGACAAATCTTCATATATTAGTGTACATCTGCGGCCAGTAGTATTTATTTCTAATTTTATTGAACATTATTTCAATCCCGAAGTGTCCTCCTAACGGATGAGTATGAACTAGATATAAGATTGGTTCTACTTCATATTTTTGAATAACTCTAAGTATATGATTAACTTTATGTTTATCTTTCTTATAAATTAGCCCATTTTTTACCAAAAAGAATTGACTTTGGGCTTGAATACTCTGTCATTCTTGAGTAGTTAGGGACTTAGGTAGTGTATGTTCTTGGATATATGTTTTTAATATTTGGTATTGAAGTGACTTTATTTTTAATTATGCCAGGACACCGACTACCTGGACCGAATTAAACTTAATGTCGGATTTGAAAAAAAAAAATTAAGTTTTCTTTAAGTATCTTTTTATAATATATATATTTAATTATCTTAACTTTCTTTAATTAATTACTGAAACTAAAACTTTGTTTTGTTTCTTTTTATAAATTACACTTAATTAGGTCCAAATTTTGCATAGTACTTATTCTGGTTGCTAATCCAGCCAGTACCAGGCTTATTGAACGGCTTACAGGTTGAACAAACCTCTCAATTTTCGTGCAGTACTTATTTTAGTAGCGAACCCAGCCAGTACCAGGCTTATTAAGCATCTTACAGGCAGAGCACCTCCCGTTTTTGCACAAATAGTGACTTATAGGCAGAGCACCTTCTAATTTTCTTTGTGTAATTATAAATTTTTCTAATTCAAAGTTTTAATTAATTCTATTATTATTGTTAATTAACTTAAACTTTTCTTATTTCTATTAAGTGATTTTGATTTCAAATTGTTGTCTCAATGTTTTTTTTTTTTTTAAAAAAAAATATAATTAGAATCGTTTAAAATTTCTATGAAAACTCAATAAATTTTCCACCGTTCTCTTTTTAGATACACAATCACAGGATATATGTTCTATTTTTTTAAACAAATAAAACAAGTAATACTATTACTTGTCTTATTTCAGATAATTACAAAAATATCCTTAAATAAGTTGAGAATTTGATTTATTTTCTTGCTTTGCATAATATTCTCCAACTTCAACTAGTTTTATACATTTAATTACTTCTTTGAGATTCTTCAGGAAAAAAAAATAAAGTCTAGCATTGATTCTCTTAAATCATTTTCAAACCTTCGGATTATATAATCCTTTGGTAAGTTTTCTTTTTATGTTATTTTATTTCAGATAATATCTTTAATTACTATAGGTTAGAAATTTTAATTTTTTCTTCTTTTTAATAGATACATTCTAGATAAAGTATCCACGTTTGAATGTTTTCTTCCGGCTCGGTGTATAATAGAGTAATCATATGGCTGAAGTCTTAGAATCTAACGCGCCTTTTTTTCTTTTGGTTCAGAGATATGTAACCATTTAAGGGCAGCGCGGTCTGTAATTAAGGTAAAATGTTTAGCATCTAAGTAGTAATGAAAGTGTTCAACAGCCCATATTACAGCTAAACACTCCAATTCGGTGCGGAATAATTTCTTTCAGTCTTAGAAAGTCCTCGGCTTGCGTATGCTACCACATATTCTTTGTAGTCTTTATCTTTCTGAGCTAATACAGCTCCCAATCCTATGCCAGAAGCATCTATATGAAGGTAAAATTCTTCTTTAAAATCCAGATACCTTAGTATAGGTGCTTTCATTAAATAGTTTTTTAATGTAAATATCATTTGTTGTTCATCGTTCCACTTATAGGGAATATTTTTTTTCATTAATTTATGCAATGGCCAGGCTATTGTTGCAAATCCTTTTATAAATCAGCGATAATATAACGCTAAACCAATAAAACCTCTTAACTGCCGAATATTTATTGGTATGAGAAAATTTTTTATTTTTTCTATTTTTGATTCATTAGGTATTACCCCCTCTTTGTTAATTATATGTCCCAGATAATTAATCTCAGACTTAAATGTACATTTTTCTGGATTTAGCTTTAATCCTGCATTTTTTAATTTATTAAAAATAATTTTTAGGTGTTCTAAATGTTCTTCAAAAGAATTGGAGTAAATATTAATATTGTCCAAGTATACGACAGCGAAGGTTCTATTACAATCTCCAAGCAACTTATCCATAAGTCTTTGAAATATTCTCAGCGCATTACAAAGACCAAATGGCATGACCTTAAATGCGTAAGTACTGTATTTAGTTATAAATATTGTTTTTTCTAAGTCTTTTTTATTAACACCAACTTGCCAATATCTACTCATTAGATCGAGAGTAGAGAACCATTTTGCCATACCAAAAGTATCCAAAAGATCACTAATATGTGGAAGCGGATATGTATCCTTTTTAGTGACTGCATTTAATTTTCTGTAGTCTACACAGAATCGAAGTTTTCCATTTTTCTTTAGCACGATAACTACTGGAGATGCCCAAGGGCTATTCATTTCTATAATAAGTCCTTGTTCCATTAATTTATTAATTTCCTTCCTAATAAATTCGTTTTCTTTGTAGGCTGCCTAGTAGTATCCCTGTTTAATCAGATTGGCGTCACCAGTATTAATGCTATGGGTAATAGCATTGGTTTGACCTAAGTCTTCAAGTTCTTGGGCAAACATTTCCATTTCATTAAGTAAAAATTCTTTTACTTTTAATTGTTGTTCTTTATTTAAATCTTCATTGTTAACCATTTCTTGTAGTTTTTCTTTTAAGGTTTTTTCTTTCTCATTTTCTATGTCTTCTTTTAGAATGGAAACTTCCTCTATATTAGTTAAGTATAGTGCTGGACTCTCTGTACTATATAAGAGTCAACTTTTATTTTCAGTCTCATCGAATTCGTCTTCTTCATAATCAAATTCGTCAAAAGTATCTTCTCCATCACTATAAATTTCTTCATCTTCATTCATTTTAAGACCTTCAGTACCATTATTAGAAATTGGTACTTCTGCTATTCTATCAGCATATTGTAAATATAATTTCTGCTCATCAAAGTAAATCTAGGCTTTAGTCTTTTGGAACCAATCAGTTCCTAATAATAGAGTGTCTTCAGAAGATTCGATTACATGTAAGTTTGTAGATACTACCACTTCTTTAATTATTACTCTCACATTTCTAATTTGTTCTAATGTATTGGCTTTTTTTCCTGTAGCCATAACCACTGTTGTAATGGATTTATTGTCTATTTTTAGCCCTAATTTATCTAATAAGCATTTAGATATAATGCTTACTGCAGCATCTGAATCCAGCACCGCTAATACTAGATTATTTCTTATTTTAATGTAACATCATGCTGCAGTTGTACGATAATATTCTTTGATAAATTTTACTTCTTTTGTTAGTGATGTTCTTTTTAATATACTAGCCAAATTTCTTCTTTGATTAGGGTATTGAAGAATTTGTCCCACGGTAGCACTTGTAAGAAGAGCCAAAATATCATCTGCGACATTATATGGTCATAAAGAATCAACTTTAAAAGGTCCCTGTTTTCTTTTCGGCTTTACTTGAGGAAGTGTTTTTTCTATAATAGCTGATTCTTCAATTTCTATATTTTGTTCTTCTTCTAGTTGTTCTTGAGGCACTCTAACCGTCTTGCGCAATCTTTCCTTCCACTTTGGATTCGCTAGACGTTTTGCTATTTTCTTTAGAGTAGGTTTATTATTTATTATATATATTTTTTTCTTAGACTTATCCTCTATTTCACAAAAACTAATAGTTTTTGTTTGATTATTATTCCCACTATTTTGTTGGTTTTGATAAGTGTATCCTTTTTCAGACATACACTTTCTAGCTACATGACCTACTTTACCACATTTACTACATTTAAGTCCTTCATTCTTTTCCCATCTATATCTATTTTGTGGGTATCCTCTGTAAAAGTTTTTTCTTGGACGATAAGTCCTTGTATCCTTTAATTGGACAGATAAGGTTGCATAATTTAATGCTAAACCTTTGATAGTTTTCTTTAAGTCATTTATCTCATTCACTATTTGTTGCTGTGTGAAATCTTTTTTGAATGCTTGTTAATTATTACAACTCCCATTTTCTACTCTTTTTGCTGCGGCTATTGCATCAGCTAAATCTTTAGAAGCGGCTACAGCTACAAAAGTGGCATTATTACCCTTTAAACCATTTAGAAACATCCTTACGACATATGCATCAGAAAATTTATTACTCTACTTAGTAATTTTTTAAACTTAGTCGCATAAGTATCTAATTTTTCATTTTCTTTTTAATGCAACTCATATAACTCGATTTGCCAATGATGTTGACGTTCCTCAGGAGCGAACTCTTCAATGAATAAATGGTAAAAGCTTTTATCTTCTTCATTTTTATTTTTTGTTTTCCAAAAGTTTATGTATTCTTCATTTTCTTTATACCATTCAGCTGCTGTTTCTTTTAGATAACCTGAAGCAATTTCTATCCTACGATCTTCAGTCCAATTGTTAGCTCTGGATGCTTTTTCAAATTCATCAAACCATTCGAAAGGATCTTCGTCATCAGTGCTATAGAAAGATTTTACTTTTATCAGATTATTTTCTTTAGGTATCTTTGATTCTTCTTTACTAACCAATTTAGTCATAACTTTCATGAACTGTTTGAATTGTTCTTGATTCATTTTTGTTCTCAAAATTTTAGGTTATTTTATGAAGTCAGAATTTCACAGTTACCACCAAATGTTATGGGGGTGATTTGTATCCTTTTACTAAGAAAATACGAAAATAGATAGTTTTTAGGTAATAAGGCAACTCGCCAGAGGCGTAATGATGGTGATTTAGCAATAGTTTAGTTTTAAAATGATATTATCAAGATGATTTATTAAATATTATAGGTGAATAATATTAGAATTCCATAGAACCTTCCTTTACAAGAGAGAAATTACAAGGTTTTTATAACTTTTACTAATCTAACGATCTCAAGAGACTTTGGGATAAATTAGATAAATCAGATTTTTCATCACGAAAGATCAAAGAAGAATCACTATAACTAAAAGGGCTTACAACAATAAGTACAATATTGATTATAATAATAAGGCTTTGCCTTTACAACATTTCTATTTTAACTATTCTAATTATTTTTGATTTTGTTTTCTTCTCTTTAGATCTTCATTTGTTCTTCTTGAAATTCTTTTTTGGATTTCACGTAAGTTATCTTTCCATTATTTAGCCGGTAAGCCTCATGCACTAGTCGATCTGGAATTCCGATAATCAATCTGCATAAAGTATGAGTTTGCTGCGCCGAATTGTCAATCTACCTTTTAGCCCGTGACAGTATTAATTAATTGATTTGCAAATCTGCGCAACATATTGTGAGCCCCGGAAACCGACCTAATTGCTGCGGCCCAAGCGTGATTTAAGATCACGGGGATAAGTGCGATTTATTACATTTATGGAATTTATAACACTGATGAGATTTATTACATTTATTACACTGATTGTAACACTGAAGATTTTATTATAAATAAAGACCATGAAGGCCCTGAGAACAATAAGTTTCGTTTGCTTACAATTATCATTCCCTAATAAAAACTACCAAATTTACCCAATTGACCCAATTAACCCATATAAACCCAAGTCTTTAAATATACCTGCTATACTAAAATACTTCTTACCCTGATCAATCACTAAGTGGCATAGTGAAAGATCTTCGTCTATCGATTGTCTCGCTCACATGACTCAAAAGAAGATTGTTTTCCAGTTGATTCTTGACGAATTGAGGACTGCCGTGGTTTTCCAACTATCCCAACGTATTGTGGATTAGTTGTGGTTGTTTTCCAGTTTCCCAACGGGCTGTGGAATCTGTGGTTATATTGTTCCGGTTTGAGGTCAAGTAGAAGATCTCAATCTGTGGTTTGTTAGAAAGTATTGTGAAATGATAATATAAGTGTTAGTGTGTCATATATAAGGTTCAATATAAGGTTTAGGAAGAATACCTACGTCTAAAATCACCCACTCGCCAAATCTAAACGCCTCTTCAATTAAGCTAAACATAGGTTATACAAGGCCTCGAATTAATTAGCAACCGACTCGCCGTATTAGGTTGTCAGTACTATTCGAATTATTTCAACAAAACAATTCAAAATTTAAAAGATTTAATCACAAGATTTAGATATCAATAATGAATCAAAATATATAAATTTGATAGAAAATCTCATATTTTTATTAATGTCATTAATATAAACAAATATAATTAATACCAGAGGCTATTAATAATCTACTTCAAATTAATCAATTAAATTTCAATATATATATATATAAACTAGATCATCAACTCACAGCCTTGCTGCAGTCTTCTTGTAAAATTGTAGTACTCATATTTATGTTTTCTTTCAAAAATAAATTTAAATATTTTATCATTTTAAATTTATTGTTTTTATAATAAAAAAATAATATATATATTTATAAATCATTTTATATAAGTTTAATTTTATTTAAAAAAATTTAAAAATAAAATATATATATATAAAAATAAAAAATAAATATTAAAAAATAAAAATAACTATAAAGAAATAAAAAATATTTATAAAATAATCTATAAAGAAATAAAGATTAATATTTATAAAATAATCTATAAAGAAATAAAGATTAGTATAATAAAATAAAGAAAAATGTTACAATAGGCTGTCTACCTTATATCAAGTCTAGTTACTTGACTAGTAACTTTTACAAATTGTGTTTCTGATAGGATTCTAGTTTCTTATTTTAATTATAAAAATTTTAAAAAAATAAAAAGAAATATAAAAAGCTAAACTATAAAAAATAAAAAATAAAAAAATTTTTATAATAGAATAGAGAAAGATATTCACAATAGGCTATCTACTTTATATCAAGTCTAGATACTTGACTGGTAACTTTCACAAATTGTGTCTCTAATAAGATTCAAGTTCTTTATTCTAAATATAAAAATTAAAAAATAGCTAAATTTATAATTTAATTGAAAATTTTTCAATAAACTATATTCTTGGTATAAATATTGGTATTTTTGTCATCAGATTCATCAGTCCTTAGATTATCATCAAGATTTTAATACTATTATATGAAGTTACTCTAGAAAGAGCTATATAGAGTTGCTCATGTAAAAACTAATTGTAGTATATAAACCAACTAATAGAATTGTTTGACCTTGTCCTTTATTGATAGTTAAAACATAGGCAAAATGAACTAGAAATTTTTTATGAACCTAAGTAAATAGGTAAATAGTATCAGTTAGAAATAAAATTATTTTTGGAAAAAAGCTCTTTTTTAAAAAAATGATCCTGTAAGAATTTTACAATATAAAACATAATTATGAAATTCTTTTACAATAAGTCTAGTTCTATTATATAAATCTTCAGAAGAATTTAAATTTTTTAAAAGAATTATAGATACTTTAGCTTTAAGAATAAGCTTATGTAGGGCAAGCCACTTGAAGTAAGTATATTAAAAAATTCTATTTGATATAAACTCTTATGATCTAAATTATTATCCTCTACTGAATTAGTAGATAATACATTTTCCTTCTTCTGGAGCTAAATCAAGTATATACTGATTAGTGTTCCTATTGAACCTAGGTTCAAAGTTTATGAACATGTTCAAAGTTTTGAATAAAGAAAAAAGCATATAAT